GTAACCGACCTATCAGTAACGGTCAGTAACCGTTGATCCGGCCGTCCATCGCGCCATCTTCCCAGCCGTCAGATCATGCAGTTAAAATACACGCGGGGGCAAAAACGTAATCACGTCTCTGACAATTTGAATTGCAGACGTGACGGCGACAACCGTCCCGCCTTCTCTCCTTCTTCCTCTCACCTTTCAAGCGACAGTTCCACTTCCCTCTCTGCTCTCTAACTCTCCATTCTTCCTCCCGATTCTCAATTCTCTCACCAAAATCGCAGCAAAAATCGTTTTTCGCACAAAATATCAAGGTAAAACCTCACTTCTTTCTTCGAAATCCATCCACAGAACAATAGAACAGTATCGCAGTCACTCTCCATGCGTTGCTGAACTGATGTAGAATCTGTTGTGTTTTGCTTCATTACCATATGGTAATGTGTGGTAAATTAAGATTGCATGTTCTAAAATAACAAAAAACCATAAGTCCTGCTGTGTTTTGCTTCGTTACCATATGGTAATATGTGGTAAGTTATGATTGCATGTTGTAAAATAGCAAAAAACCATAAGTCCTGCTGTGTTTTAGTTTGTTACCATATGGTAATGTGTGGTAAATTATGATTGCATGTTGTAAATAAGCAAAAAACCATAAGTCCTGCTGTGTTTTAGTTTGTTACCATATGGTAATGTATGGTAAATTATGGTTTCATGTTGTAAATAAGCAAAAAACCATAAGTCCTGCTGTGTTTTAGTTTGTTACCATATGGTAATGTGTGGTAAACTATGGTTTCATGTTGTAAAATGTTGTAAAATAGCAAAAAACCATAAGTCCTGCTGTGTTTTAGTTTGTTACCATATGGTAATGTGTGGTAAACTATGGTTTCATGTTGTAAATAAGCAAAAAAACCATAAGTCCTGCTGTGTTTTAGTTTGTTACCATATGCCACATGGTAATGTGTGGTAAACTATGGTTTCATGTTATAAAATAGCAAAAAACCATAAGTCCTGTTGTGTTTTAGTTTGTTACCATATGGTAATTTGTGGTAAACTATGGTTTCATGTTGTAAAATAGCAAAAAAAACCATAAGTCCTGCTGTGTTTTAGTTTATTACAATATGGTAATGTGTGGTAAGCTATGGTTTCATGTTGTAAAATAGCAAAAAACCATAAGTCCTGCTGTGTTTTAGTTTGTTACCATATGGTAATGTGTGGTAAGCTATGGTTTCATGCTATAAAAATGGAGGAAAACATACGTCCTGTTGTGTTTTACTTCGTTACAATATGGTAATATGTTATAAGACATGGTTTGATGTAATTACCATATGGTAAAATGAGATAAATATATGGTTTGATTTGGTATGGTAGGAAACCATTATGGTACCATATGGTATATCATGGTAAAAAGCACGCTAACAGAATATTCCTAATTTCTACATTTAGGTACACTATGGTAAAGCAAAGAAAATTTTTTCGCACAAGGTGCAGCCCAACAAGAATATCTGCAATTGCAAGGACTATAAAAGATGACCAGAAAGAGAAACTTGAGATATTAGGCCTAGCAGGCTTAATATCAATCAAGCAGACAAAGATAAACAACCATTTTGCACTGTTCGTAATGAACAAATACAATCCAATGAAACAATCTTTCAAGCTACCTGACGGGACACGCATGAAGATATCACCAATCGACTTTCATAGGGTATATGGTCTGCCAATGGGGAATAGGGAAGTTGTACCTCCCACGATTTCTTGGGACGACGCAGCAGATTATGCAGTAGAAACCCTACTGGAAGTAGATGGAAAATCCACTCCAAGGGTAAAGCTAAGTCAGGTAGAAAAAGATCTTTCTACAGTTACCAACAGTAAGAGATGGTTACAATTGTTCTTTCTGCTGGTCACCGGAGGCTTGCTGTGCCCAACTTCAGCCCCTATGGCTGAACTCAACATGCTTGAGTACTTGAAGACTGATGAACAGAAACATTTCACCAGCTACAACTGGTGCAAATACTTCTTCAACCACATGAATGAAGGATTGAAATCACCAAAGCTCTACGTCAATGCAGATCTTCACTTCCTTACAGTAAGTCTCCATTCCCTTGGCCATTTCAACCTTGTTACTCATATATTTTATATATAAATGATACTCTTTGAAAAAACTAATACAACTATCTGCATAAAAAGGTATGCTTTATGTACAAACTGGACGAAATGGCATTCTCAACCCAGCTTCGAACACCAACAGTAAGCTACTATGATGATAACAATGTTGATAGCAACTTTGAGAACATTAAGAGCTACTACAATGGAAAAGAGTTGAACGAGATCGAAAAGGTTGCCAACATTAGAGACGATGAGGCTGATGATGAGGCTGATGACGCAGCTGATGAGGAAGAGGAGAATGAGCCAGTCTATGAATCACCGAAAAGACAAAGAAACAAAAGTCCAAAGCAGTCATCATCACTGAACTTTGATTTGAAGAATATCAGAACAGTCAACCAAGTAAGTACAAATTATCTATATTACAGTTGTCCAATTCAAATTATCTATATTACAGTTGTCCAATACATGCTAAGCGTAAGTCCTTCTGTGTTTTAGTTTGTTACCATATGGTAAAGTGTGGTAAGCTATGGTTTCATGTTATAAAAATGGAGCAAAACATAAGGTCCTGTTGTGGTTTACTTCGTTTACCATATGGTAATGTGTGGTAAGCAATGGTTTCATGTTATAAAAATGGAGGAAACCATAATTCTTGTTCTGTTTTACTTTATTACCATATGGTAATGTGTGGTAAGCTATGCTTTCATGTTTTAAAAATAGCAAAAAACAACAAGTCCTGCTGTGTTTTAGTTTGTTACCATATGGTAAGGTGTGGTAATCTACGATTTCATGTTATAAAAATGGAGGAAAACATAAGTCCTGTTGTGTTTTAATACGTTACCATATGGTAATGTGTGGTAAGCAATGAATTCATGTTATAAAAATGGAGGAAACCATAATTCTTGTTCTGTTTTACTTTGTTACCATATGGTAAGGTGTGGTAAGATATAGTTTCATGTTATAAAAATGCAGAATAGTGATAATAATTGCCAATACCATGTATTACCACCATGGTAACTAACCATACTCCCATTATGCAGGCTGAGAATGCAATCAAACTGCTTGAAGCATCAATGAAGGCAATGATGAAAGCAATAAAAGACCAGTACTAAAGCCAAATTGACAATCTGATCAGACACAAGGAGAATCTTGCGAAAGAAAGCTGTGATGAATATGTTCAGCCCACAGAAGGAGAAAAATCTCAGTGTGAAGATGATGAAGAAGAGAATGATGAAGAAATGCATGCCAGTTTGAATAAACACTAAATGAAATATTCAAACAGACAAAGATAGACCAGAACGAAGAGGAGAACGAGGAGCAAACACAGAAAGAAGATGATTCACAACCATCTACAGTCGATCTTGCTGCATCTACACCGAAGCCAAAAGAAAAGGAGCAAGATGATTCTGCTCCAGGAGCTGTGAATAGGGAAAGCATCCCAAAAGAAGGAGATCACTGGGGGAAGTTTGCAACAGAACCACCAGAATAATCTGTTCAAGAAGGTCTGAATCAGGGAACACCACAACAAGAGGACACCCAGAAAGCAGTTCCAGAACAGACATCTGCAGAAGAAACCGAAGAAAAAGGAGCTACCAAAACAGCAGATCCAATGGAAGTTGATAAGGAAACAACAGAAGAAGGGAATACAGGGCAAGCTGCACAAAAGGACTGCAGAAACTGACAGCGAGAAGATGGTGTCAGATGATGTTGTTCGTGAAGAGGCTCCAAAACTGACAACCGAAGCTGCTGAGAAGCCTAAAGTGACGAGGGAAGACGACATTCCATCCTTTAATCTCAGCCCTCTCAACCGTTCAAACACCAACAACACCAACAAAGTTGACTACCAACACGGCAACCGATCAACCAGCAGAGCCTCGCAAAAGAAGAATCGTGATAAAGAATGTACACGAAAATGAAAAGAAGGCAAGAGCAACACCACCACCAGAACAGCCACAAAGCACCCAGTCACAGACGGGGTCATATGCTATATGGTCAAATCTGTACACAAACAGCCAAGAGAAGCTCAAGGAAGTCCGTGAATGCATAGATGCTTACCTAGAGGACCTGAATTCTCCAGCTGCCGAACCAGTTGCTCCACAGTCACAAAAATCACCAGTTGAATGGTCAACACCAACACAAACAACACCTGATGATATGTTCAGCAACATCCTGGAGTACATAAGATGCAAAAACAAGAAATTTGCCAAGAGGTAAGTCATCATCTTAAACTTCTACTGTTATATGATGTTACTGTAGTGATCTAGTTTGTTACCATATGGTAAAATATGGTAAGATATGGTAAAATTAGATAAATCTATGGTTTAATGTTACAAAATGTAGTAATGCACAAGTCCTGTTTTGTTTTAGTTTAATACCATATGGTATGATGTGGTAAGCTAAGGTTTGTTGTTAAAGAATGGATTAAACCATAACTCCTGTTCTATTTTACTTATTATCATATGGTAAGATGTGGTAAGCTGGTGTGTTTTACTTATTACCATATGGTAAGATGTGGTAAGCTATGGTTTTGTTGTGGTAACCTATTGTTTGATGTCATAAATTAAAGTAAACCATCCGTCCTATTGTGATGTGCTTTTATACAGTGATGAGATAATGTTTAAAAGGAAGGATGGAACATTCTTGCTGAAAAGGGAGTCTGTACAGTCGATTGACATTGGCTGTGAAATCACATCTGATGTCATCGGCTGGTATGGAGATGTAATGAACAGGAATGAAGCAAGAAAAGGAAAATTCAAAAGGTGGTTCTTCGATACATCTTTGGCAGTAAGTAAACCCACCCATAGTCTGTCAATAGTTCTTAGACAACACATATATAAAACACATAATAACAACCACAACTTTCAGGGTGACTGCCAACTGGACATTGATAGTGGCAATCCTGTACTATCTCCAGACGATTACTACAACAAAGTTGACTTGGACATCACCAACAAAGAATGGGCCAAAACCTCAGCTTCACAGAATGTAACCTTGTAAGTATCTCACCACAAATTTTTGCAGTGGTTACCATATGGTATATAGTGGTAAAATTAGTTTGCAATGGTTCTTAACTTACTGTTCATCACTTATATGGCAACTGCTTACCATATGGTATACTGTGGTAAAATTATTTTGCAGTGGTTCTTCCCTTACTGTAATAACAAGCACTACATCATGATTTGTGTCAACATCAAAGCAGAGAGATTTGAAGTGCTTCGACAGTCTCCGTCACAAATATTTTGAAAAAACATACAACTCAATGGCAGAGAGGGTTGTCCAGTTACGCAATCAACTACATGAAGACACAGTTTGCAGACAAGACAGTAAGGTGGGAGAGTTTAGCTGGTTCAAGCTCGAGAAGGTTACACAACCAGATCAAATTTCATGTGGGATGTACGTCATCAGGTGGATGAGACACTGGGAAGGTAAGTACAACAGTGCCCTGACCAAAGATTGGAAGAGGATTGATCTCATAAATGAAGAAAGGGAGTGCCTGATGTTGGACATCATTCTTGATGAAGAAAATCTTGAACGGGAGAGGATCATGAAAGAAGCAACAAAGTACTGCAACATGAAGAACAAGAAGAAAGAGTTGAAAGGAAGGAAATGAAAATTCTATTATCGTTTGTGTTAAGTAGTAGGAGGGTATGAGTAAGCTTTTGAGAACAAACTCACAATGTTCAGTAGCCACTTCATTTAATTAGTAGGATGGTATGAAACAACTTATTATGGTTTGTATTATGACTAAAAGAAATGTTCTGTTTTTTATTATGTTAGCAAATACTTAACATGTGTCTTAATTCCCAAATTACAACATTTTACCATATGGTAATGTGTGGTAAATTATGATTGCATGTTGTAAAATAACAAAAAACCATAAGTCCTGCTGTGTTTTGCTTCGTTACCATATGGTAATGTGTGGTAAATTATGATTGCATGTTGTAAAATAGCAAAAAACCATAAGTCCTGTTGTCTTTTAGTTGTTACCATATGGTAATGTATGGTAAATTATGGTTTCATGTTGTAAATAAGCAAAAAGCCATAAGTCCTGCTGTGTTTTAGTTTGTTACCATATGGTAATGTATGGTAAATTATGGTTTCATGTTGTAAATAAGCAAAAAGCCATAAGTCCTGCTGTGTTTTAGTTTGTTACCATATGGTAATGTGTGGTAAACTATGGTTTCATGTTGTAAAATAGCAAAAAAACCATAAGTCCTGCTGTGTTTTAGTTTGTTACCACATTTTACCACATGGTAATGCACTGTAAAATCAATTACCACACATACCACTTCCAAAATACCATATTTTACCACATGGTATGGCATGGTAAAAATAAATTACAACACTATACCATATGCTATGGCAAGGTAAAATCAAATTACCACACTATACCATATGGTATGGCATGGTAAAATCAATTATCACACAGAAACCCTCACATTTAACTTCCAAATTACCACATTTTACCACATGGTAATTTACTGTAAAATCAATTACCACACATGCCACTTCCAAAATATCATATTTTACCATATGGTAAAATCAATTACCACACATTACCACATGGTAAAATCAAATTACCACACTATACCATATGGTATGGCATGGTAAAATCAATTATAAAACAGAACCTTCACATTCAACTTCCAAAATAGCACATTTTACCACCTGGTTTGACATGATAAAATCAAATTACCACATTATACCACATGGTATAACATTGTAAAATTAATCCAACAAAACCAAAAACCAATCCAAAAGAACAAAATAGCTTCAACAACTCAACCAACATCAACCATTCATTCAGATAATCCTCTAAGAAAACTATTACAGCTTCAGCCTTAAACTTTCTTCAACAGCCTTCAAATTCTCCTCCTCAAGCCTGCTAGTTTTTCTCTTCTTCTTGCTTACAGCCCTTGCAGCCTCCAACTGGAATTGGTCGTTTCGAAGGCTTGAATGAATCTTTTTTAGGCTTAAACTCCTTCACTTTTTGGACCGGTACATCATCTATACCAAGATAACAAAAACAAACTACAATCAATGACAGATAACAAAAACAAAAACAAACTCTAAACAATTAAAAAAAACTTACTGTCGCCGTTAGAAGACGTGCTTGTTCCAGCAGGTTTAGTAATCGATAGGGATTCACACTTTTTGATCAAATCAGTCATGAAGGCCATGGCTGATTTATACAAATCATCATCCAATGCAACCCTGCTGATCATTGATGCAGAAACAGCTGACAGATTGAAAAGACGAGAACGGTATTTCGATGGACTATCAGTAGACGGAACTTCAAAAGAAAAGTTCCCTCCAGTTTTCGCTGCCCTTGTCCACCGCTTCAAAATCAAACTGCTAGGAATGTGCTGGAACTTCAGATTGCATGTTGTAGACCACAACATATCATATCCCTTAATTTGATGCTTACAGATCATACCACTTGACTCCCACTTACGGCAAGAACACTTGATTTCACCGTTTTCAAAATCAACCTTCAACACCCTACTATCCAACCTTGTAAAGTCACCCTCCAATATGAAGACATCAAACAGTCCTACATGTCCTTCTGGTTCTATCTCCGTATTGGAAAAAATATTATACGCAAGGGATTCCTTGTACTGATCCAGGAAAAACTTGAATATCTTCGGCGTATACACATTAGCAACTTGCTTCACAATAGGGCTAGTAGAAAACCGAGAATCAGCCAACCTAGATAAGGCATAGTACTCTTCTTGTTCTTCAGCATCCCTCTTATTATCAAGCATCCTCTCAAAGTGCACAAAGAACCTACTAACGCTAAACTCTGACTGCAAGTAATGTCGAATATTACTATTGCAGCACTCACTTAGCTGGGTACTCTTCATTCCCGCACCAAAATGACAATTCACCCAGGCTGAAGACCACTTCGTCCTGACTTTGTAAATGCCCTATAACCAACTGTGTCCCAAAGGTCCCTTCCCAGGAAAACACTTCTCAATCATCTTCTTCCAATTATACTCAAAATCATCCTCATCATCAGCATTATACATCAAATAACTAAGCTCACGAAGGAAGTCAGAGTCACACAAACTTCCCAGATTAACAACTGCATTCTGAGCAATATGCCATGTACACAACCCATGAAAACAATCTAGGAAAACAGACCTTATACCAGCAGCAATTGCAGCAGCCTGGTCAGTAAACATTGATAACGGTCTCACACCTCCCATGCATTTCAAAAACTGATCGAAAAGCCATTCAAATGTTGCCGTTGTTTCATCATATAGAAGAGCAGCCGCAAAGACAGTCAGTTGGTGATGATTGTTGAAACCAACAAACAAAGCTACATAAACATAACAAAATGTGAGTAAAAACAATTCTACCAACACATACCATGTGGTAAAAGGTACGAATAACAATAATACCAACCCATACCATATGGTAAAGACTCATACCATGTGGTAAAGACTTCTAAGAACAAAAAAAAAAAAAACAATCCACACCAGACTACCATATAGTACACACTTCTAACAACGCAAAAACCACCACAAATAACCTTGTTACCAACCCATACCATATGATAAAAGACTTTTAAGAACAAAAACACAATGCATAGCAGCCCATACCATATAGTACAAACTTCTAACAACCCAAAAACCACCTCAAATAACCTTGTTACCAACACATACCATATGGTAAAATACTTTTAAGAACAAAAAAAAAACATGATACAGAATGATAATAATAATAATCATACAAACTAACAAACACAATAATAAACAACAAACTAGAAAACATACCTAGTGGCCGATACTCTTTGTTAGTCCGGTAAGTAGTATCAAAACTAATTGAATCACCAAAATAATGATAATTCATCCTCATCTTCCCATCTGCCCAAAAAATACTAGCAATGTTCTCTTCAACATCAACCTCCACCTCATGAAAGAACCCAGGATCCAGCTGTGCTTGACGTCTAAAGTATTCAAGCAATGCAGTCGCATCACCATACTCCATTGATGACGTCCTAACCGTTCGCAGATGGTTCTTCAAATCATTCTTTGTGAACCCAACAAACTTCCAACCACCACCAGCCCTACTAATTGCATTATACGAAGAAGTCACACCAATACCAGCAGCATCATTCACCTCTGCCAACATCTTATACACAGGAGCCATTCGTCTGCTGGATCTCACATAGTGACGCAGAGACTCAGGAATCATGTCATGGTTGTGCACATTATACCAACGATAGATCTTGTAGCATTTAAACTCTTTAAACCACCTCAGTCGTATATAAGCACCATTACATCCACCCCTGAGTTCTGGAACATTACGAACACGAACCGTCGTATCAACAACACCTGCATTATCAGGGTTATTCTCGCTACCTCTTTTCCAACCTTCCTTATTGCAACAATACTTGATATAATATACAGCTGAAGAACCACCATTGAGCTTCGGACACGCTGATTGGTTATAAATCCTCACACCAAAACCTTCATGATTCCCATAATCAACATAAAAATTATATGCATCATCTGGTGTATTGAACTCTAAGTCCTTCCAAGAATCACGAACAGTAGGATCTATACCATTGAAACCTACAAACATTATGAAACGACATATTAAATGGATTCCACACCACAACAGTATGAAATCTCAATGTATACCAATAATTACAGCCATGATACAAGAGTTACCACCATGGTATGGCATGGTAAAATCAAATTACCACACTATATGGCATGGTGAAATCAAACTACAATACTATACCACATGGTATGGCATGGTAAAATCAATTATCACACAAAACCCTCACATTTAACTTCCTAATTACCACATTTTACCACATGGTAATGTACTGTAAAATCAATTACCACATGATAAGGCATGGTAAAATCAAATTACCACCCTATACCATATGGTATGGCATGGTAAAATCAAACTACCACACTATACCACATGGTATGGCATGGTAAAATCAAATTACCACACTATACCATATGGTATGGCATGGTAAAATCAATTATCACACAGAATCCTCACATTTAACTTCCTAATTACCACATTTTACCACATGGTAATGTACTGTAAAATCAATTACCACATGATAAGGCATGGTAAAATCAAATTACCACACTATACCATATGGTATGGCATGGTAAAATCAATTATCACACAGTATCCTCACATTTAACTTTCTAATTACCACATTTTACCACATGGTAATGTACTGTAAAATCAATTACCACATGATAAGGCATGGTAAAATCAAATTACCACACTATACCATATGGTATGGCATGGTAAAATCAATTATCACACAGAAACATCACATTTAACTTCCTAATTACCACATTTTACCACATGGTAATGTACTGTAAAATCAATTACCACATGATAAGGCATGGTAAAATCAAATTACGACACTATACAAACTTCAATAAACAAACAAATTTGTATATCTTACCTCCTGATTCACCAGAGTTAGCTGAATGATCAAATCCAAGATCAATAGATGAAGAAGCAGTTCCAACAGCACTAGATGAAGAACCAGATCCTACAACGCTGGTTGAAGAACCAGATCTATCAATTGGAACAACATCGCCACAATTTACGTTACTCATCTCACCAGAATACTGCCAAAACACCAAAACACAAAGAACATAACACATGAAGAAGCTCGATTAGCTAAACATAAAC